TAGAGGACAGTGTGGCGTTGTGGTCGCAAGCTCGGAGACGTGGTGGGGCATGCGGTATGTCGAAAGTCGCTCCATCCTCGACGGCGTGGTCGTGGTAGTCTCGCGTGACGTCCGCCATGAGCATGTTGAATGTGAAGTCGGCTGTTGGTACGCCAGGGCGTGTACCAAGTCGTGGTGCTGCGTAGCTGCACTGGTCGTCGATATAGAACCAAGTCCCAGTGTGTGCCTCTGTGAGCATGTCGACAATGTGTTGGTTGTCCACGTGTTGGTTGACAATGCCGTTGTCGGTCATGAGGGCCTCAATCGCGGGAAGCATGACATGGGGGATGTCGATGTGGGCGAGAAGGTCGTCCAGCTGCTCCTTGGTCTGGGTGAAGTTGTACACGAGCTGGTTGACTACCTTGTGGAAGGCTGCTTTCAAGTCTATCATGATGATGACCATGTCGTGCTTCAAGTGGTAGGCGGTGTTGGATAGGAGCCGCATCGTCATGTGGTTGATGTCCGTGCTGTAGTGGCGTCGGCCTCCCGTCTGAGTGGAGAAGAGCATCGTGGGGATGAGGTCCTTCATGCATTGTCTGATGTATCTGTAGTGGTGCTTGATGACGGTGTTGGCTAACGTGATTGACCGTTGGTTGTTCAGGTCCTCCTCGCTGCCTTTGCCCTTCCAGAAGTACGTCATCCTGGACCCCTTGAGAGCTACGCCCTCCCTGCAGAAGAGCGCCGCTTTGGTGATGATCGGATGCATGTGTCGGGCCATCTGCCGTGGGGCGATCTTGGAGAAGTCGTCGGATACACGATCTGGTCCTGGTGCGCGGTGAGGTCTCGCTTTGTGAAGGATGTCGGTGAGCTCGTAGATGCTGGCGAAGTTGTTGACGTGGCGCGTTCTCCTGGGCTGAGCTGGGTCGGTCCTGTCCTCCTTGGCGTTGCATCTGTCAACCACGTCCTGAGCGGAGAGGATGTCGGCTGCTTCGTTGTGTCCGAAGTGGCGCGTGGCTGCGTCGGCCTTGCTCGTGGAGCTGTCGAGGACAGTGCCGTCTGCTGCGTTCATCATGGGGTATGCTTGCCGCTTACGTCTCTTGCGGCCGCCGAATAGCAGGAGCTTCTTGGTGTACTTCCACTCGGTGTACGTGTCGCCAGTGCGCTTTGCATCCATTGCCTTTTGTGCTTGCTCTTCCAAGAAAGCGTCGTAGTCCCTGTCGGTCATCTTGACGATTACTTTTCTCGTGGCGTCGATCCAGTGCCGTACGTGTTGTAAAAACCCATGATAGTCAGGGTTGTAAGGGAAATTCGCTGCAGCGTAGTTGAGCATGTAAGTCTCGCAGTAAGTAGTGTGGATCGCCTCGGGAGTCATCTGAAGGGTCGGGTCGTTGTGGATGTCGTTGATGAGCCTTTGGATTCTGCGCTTTGTCGTGCTAGCTGTCGCTCCATGTGTTGTTGCCTTACGGAGGAGCTTCATGAACTTCCGTCGGCTGAGGACAAAGTCGAGCGTGGTCTCTGAGATGTACTCCTGGTATTTCTTCTTCCCGCTTCTTTTGAACGCTGAGGTCGCTGCGTCCATGATGGTCAGCATGTACTGGTGGATGTGCTCATCGTAGTCCGTCCCCCATGACGGTAAGACAGTAGCGTCCAGGTGCATCTTGAAGGTCTCGACGGCCTTCTCGTCATTGAGCTGGTGCTTGTCGATCTTCGGGAAGAGCTGCTTTGGCGCAGTGTGCCGCACGGTCCAGCAGGCTCGAGCTGTAACTGGCAGGTGATCCTCGCGGTGATGCTGCCCTTGTCGGTGTTTCTTCATGGTCTCAATGTCGGCCAATGTCTTGACGTCGGTGATGTGGCTGATGAGCGTATCGTCCGCGATGATGTAGTCGATGCGATGCTTGTGCCCATATGCGTCTGTCCACGTGTGGTGCTCGTCGCCGTTGGAGATCACGGTGTTGGCGATGACGTAGTGCCCTGCGGCTGCTATCTCGTGAAGTTCCTTGCCGTTGCTGTCCTCGGTCTGGGAGAGTCCAGCAGGTCCAACAGATGTCGACTGCACGCTTCCAAGTCGGCCGTTGGCGTCGGCGAGCATGAGGTTGGGTCTGTGCTGTTGTACGAGCTTCTGTAGTCGCTGCCAAAAGTCTTGTCGTTCTTGAGGACCTTTCTTGCTGTGAGGAGCATGAAATACACAAATGGTGGTATTGATGCAGTCCGTAGTGACTTTGACGATGAGGATCCTTGGCTCACTGATGAGAACGTGGCAGTGTCTGGGCTCGAAGTGCTGTGGGCCGTCCTTGTTGTAGGCGTAGGGCTCCTCCACGTTGATCCATAGCTCACATCCAGCGTTGTAGTGGTCGTGCGGGCTGCTGATGATGAAGTATCCATTCCCAGTTGTTGTACGTCGTTCGTTGCGCGCCTCCTGAATGCCGATGATGTGGAGTCGCTTTTCTTGAAATTGTCGTCGAAGCAAGGGTCCCCGCCACTGGTGTGCAAGCCGAGCTGCCTTTGTGAACTTCTTCTGCTGCTGAGCGTCGGACTCTCTGACACTCTCGGCGTTGTAGGTTGCAATGGAGAGCTCGATCTTGGTTTCTTTGGCAGAGACCGTCTTAGGCGCCATGAGGTGTCGAACACTAGCATTCCGAGTTGGTAATCCAAAGCGTAAGGTGGCACCTTCGCGCAGTGGGTAAGCTGCTCGATCGGGATGATCAGGCTGGAGGATCGACTCCCATTGGTAGTACTTTGTGTCCGCAATGATGTCTCTGAAGTTGTGCGGGATGGTGTCGTAGTCGTGGCCTCTCTCGTAGCGCTTGCGTGTCCTCTTTGAGATTCCGTCGGCGAGCTCGTTCCACGGCATGCCTTCGTGACTCGGGACGTGATGCAAGGTGATGTCGTTTTCGTTCTTGAGTGTGTCGAAGATGACCTTCATGAATCTCGCAAGATGTTCGTCTGCTGATGCTGTGGCGCGTCCCATGCATATGTTGATGGCCGTCTCGCAGTCGGTGTGGATACAGATAGGTTGCGGCTCGGCGACGGCGATGGACCACATGAGAGCCTGCACGATGGCCATGATCTCGCCTGTGGTGTTGGTGGTGCTGCGGTCATTCAACTTCATGTTGTGGCTCTTGCTGACGATGCTGCTGAAGGCTCCTCTGAACGTGCGTTGGTCGTGTTCACCACCTTCTTGTAGTACCAAGAATGCCCATGAGCAGCAGTCTGGTCTCCGTGCGTTGTGGGAAGCGTCAGTGAAGATGTGCTTTGCGCTGTGGGCATTGTTGCCTTTCGTCGTATTGTTGAGCGCATATGTTGCTACTGGGTGCAGGTCATCACCTTCGATGTTGGCGTTGAGAAAGGGGGCGGTCGTGGCCCGTATTCGTCTGATCAGTCCTCTGGTGTCCCCTAGGTCGCATGTGCAGTCGCCTGGTGGTTGCAGGCCGTGATATCTTGTGATGTCGAGATTGGCCTCGTGGTAAGATGGTTGCGGTTGTTGGGGCTGCTTGTCGGCGCTGGGATTGGGTGGTCGCTGTACTCGAAACGGTAACATTGTTGTCGCCTTCTGCTGTCGTCTGTGTGCAGCTTGTCCGTTGTGCGTTGTTGCAGAAACTCCTGCTGGGCATCGAAAGGGGTGCATGGCTGTCTTTTGTCGTTGACGCCTTTCACCTGTGGCCACGTGGCAGTCTCTGTCGGGTGCTGCTGTGCCATGTCCAGCGCCCTGGGATGCTGTCAGGACTACTGGTGGATGGCCGGTGGGCTGCTGTGTCGGAAGCGTGGTGGTATGTCTTGCTGAGGGTGGCGGTGGGCTGGGTTGCAGGGCTTGGAATCGATTGTGGGTCGTGGTGTGCGTAGATGTCTGCTGTGCTGTTAGTCGCCGTCGCTGCTGCCGTCGGACTCGTGCCAGAAGCCGCGTGCGAATGGCGTCGTCATCGAGGTGGAAGTTGCCGCTATCCATCTCGCTGCTGTTATCGAGGAAGGTATCCTCGATCCCAGGGAAGTAGTCTATCGTGATCGCGCTGTGGTACTCGGGCGTCTCGTTGTGGACGTCGGAGCCGTTGAATTTCCGTGCATGCATAGAGCCAACATGGCTGGTTGTGGTGGCCGTGACGTCGTGCAGGTCGGGCGCCTGCGAGCCAAAATGGCTAGTCGCCCTTGTCCTTAGGTCGGGCTTGGGTCGCTCGAGTCGGGGTGGTGTATGTAACCAATTCGTCTCGTCGCCTGGCCTCGCCCTTGGTGTGGTCGGCGTGACACGCTGAGTGCTCTCAGAGATGATGGAGCGAGGTAGGTCGTGCCTTGGCGAAGTGTCGGAGGTGGCGGCATAGGAGCCAGGTGGCGCTCGTGGAGGTCTCCTCCGCCTCCTCCTCCTCCTCCTCCTTCTCCTCCTCCTCCTCCGCCTCCTCCTCCTCCTCCTCCCGTTCCCCAGGCTTAGAGCTCATTGGTGCTGACAGGTTTGACGCGGACACTACAGATGACATCTAAAGCTTCCTCGACTGGTGCTGCGGGGATGGCCCCGGGGCCTAGGGCCCGCCTCCCTCAGGTGAGGGGGGAATGGGTCAGGAGGGGAACGTCGACCTGGGATCGGCGACGCATTGTCGATAGATCGGCGCTCGGCTCTTGATAGTGAAGCCCGACGTTCCTGGGCGGGGGGGTGGGCTACCAGGCCCCTATCGGCAATGAATGTGCCATCTCGGACGACGCGCTCCCCCCCTGAGCCCATCCCCCCTCCCTGACGGTGCCCCCGAAGCGAGGGCGGTCGGCGAAATAGACAAAGCCACCTGCGCATCACCGCCCCCCTTCCACACGGGCAGCACGGGCAATTCTGACGGAGCTCGCCATCGGTGGCACGGTCCTCCCTCCCCTTCCCTCTCATCATCCCCATCCCCCTCGCTCCCTGATGCGCACTCCCTCTCCTCCCTCTGTTTACCCTCACTCTCAGCCTCCTCTCCGAAGGCATCCTCCTGGAGGTCCAACTGTTCGTCTGCTCACTGGTTTCGGCGCCTGGGTATCATCGGAGGTCGCGCTGAGCAAATGGCAAACGAGTCGGTCTGGTAGATGATGACCGCCTTGTTTGCCTTCAACTGTCCCACCTTGACCTTGCCGTCTGCAAGCCCGAACGCGACCTGGTTCGGCTGCTGGCTTGGCCAGCACAAGCACGTCACGCTGGAGGTCTGAGGAAATTTGTTGCAGATGGACTTCTTGTCCACCAGCTTGTAGACGAACACGATGTTGTCGCTTTGCGCGACCGCCAGCTTGGAGCCGTCTGACGAGAATTCGATGGCCTTGACCGTGTAGGTGCGGCGCTCCTTAACTCAAGGTGACGAGCGGATGCATTGCAAAGCTGGGTTACTCTTGCCCTGCTGCTGCTGGTCCTCTTCCCTCTCCTGCCCATCTTCCTGCGTAACCTTGCACGCAGATCGACGCTCTGACGCAGCCTCAGACGACGGCATGGGCAAGCGGCGCCAAAGCCAGGTGAGAACTCCCCAATGGGCCAGATAGCTGGGCCATAGCTCAGACAACTCCAAGAGACGATCCTGCACTGCGCAGACGTGCGTCAAGGCGCACCCGATGAACGGCCAGGACCGTTACAACCCATTGTTCGTTAATGTGTGCGCTGCGACGATCTGAGTATGCTGCGTGGGTTTGCCTTTTCTAGAATGTCACTGTTATTCAGTTCGGTCGTCGACAGGGCCAGAACTCGTACACAAACACTCAGAACATGCAGCATCACTATGTCAAAACCATGACTGCACTTTAAGAAGAAATCAAGAAAAGTGTTCACGACGCCCAGCTCCCCTCTACCTTCCGTACAAACCACCCTCTTGTTCTCATTCGCCTCCAAACCGTCGCCTCCTCCTCCCCTCCTCCTCCTCATCCTCCTCCGGCTCCTCCTCTTCCTGATCATCGTCATCACCAATACCAGCATCAGCCTCGTCATCATCGTCTTCCTTACATTCCTGTATATCCTCGCCCGTTCCTGCGCTTTCACCAAAGCCCGCATTCCAACCGATATCACCAAGGCGTGTCAACGCCTCCTCGCAGCCCAGAGCCAGGATGTGAATCTAGTGGGGGGAGTCCTACGCTGGTCACGCGCCAAGGACGGCATCGCCGAACCGACTAGAGGATTGCTGCAATAACTCGGCGGGTTCCAACGCAAAGGCATTGCAGAGAGGGCCCTCATCGGGTCCAAACGGGACGGGAACGACAGGACGCCTCAGACAGCCAAGACCGCCCCAAGCCTGCTCCGAGAAGATCGCGAGACCTCTCCACACTGTTCCGAGGCATCCCAAACAGCCGTGCCAGCCGCAGCAGGCCCCTTGGAGGTCAGAGAGAAACCCCCGAAGAAGACAAAGACAGCCCCTGCATAGCATGAGGTCGGCCGCAGACGTCTTCGAGACGGCTCCCACTGGCCCGAAACAGCTTAAAGACGGTGCCTGACGGCGTCAGGATGGCTTCAAGACGCCCAAGGTGCCCCCAAGAGAACGAAGATGGCACGAAGACGCCTGACAGTGACTCGACGGGCATCCGAGTGTTCGTGTCCTCCAGACGCGCACGGCAGGTCTCTAAGAGCCAAACGACGTATCAAATCATAAATGCGAAGTGTGTGTGTGTGTGTGTGTCAGGTGCGTTGCTCATCGCCTTCGTGGTGCTCTTCTACCTCCTGGGCGTCGACCTGGTCAAGAGGCACGTCCTCCTCTGCAGTGCTTGAGGCTGGTATTCGCGACGTGCCGTTGACGGCAACACCATATCGCTCGCCCTCCGGGTCTTCGCCCCCGGTCCCTGTCCGCGGCGTACCTTTTCCTGTGCAAGCTCTTCGGCACCGCCTGCACCCCGGGTTCCGCCCACTCCGGCCGCCTGAGGCCCCGCCTTCCTGTGCCCTGTCTCCCTAATGAAAGCGGTGCGTAGCCCGCCTAGCTTTTAGCGGAAGAGGTTCGCTCTCGCCCCGCCGACCAAAAAGTGTGTGTGTGTGTGTGTGTCATGTGTGATTTGCGCTCCGCCCTTCCTGACCCAGGATGGCTCCCGAAATATGTTCAGGCGGTCATGGGTTTCCCCGACGTCTTCCACGCGGTCAAATCAGCTCCCCCTACAGCCCCAGAAAGCCCCACAGGCGCCCCAACGCGGCACACGATGATCCAAGATGTCTCACAGAGGCCCTCATGAATTTTCAAAGTGGCCCAAGGACCAAGGAAGGCAGCCGGAAATCCTCGTAGACTCTGTTTTCCGATCAGGGAATGATGAAATCCAATTGCTTAAACTGAAATGGTGGTGAACCCAAGTTGGTTATCGCATGGCGGATCGATCGGTACCCCCCCCCCATCCCAGTCCCAGAACTAGATAGCAATCTGGAATACTGGACCGAGGCGCATGGCTTCAGAATTATCAACCAAGGTCGATTATTGCGGAACACACTGTGAGAAACACCTTCCCCGCCTCCGTTATCATCATTCCAGAACGGCGAACTGCAATCCATAACTTTTGGGGGATCGAACGTTGGTCGATTACCTATGTGGAGACAATAATGCGACCTAGCATTACCAATCATCGAACACAAGTCCACAATCTCGCGAACAGATCTGGCTGGATCCCCCAAAAAGTGAGATTCAGCGGCCCATGATTCCTCAAGAAAACAAAAATAAATACAAAAATCGTCGTGGCAACAGCGATCTGACCCCCGTGCCCGTCCATCATTACCTCCCCGAGTAACAGGTTCCGGTCTATTCGATGGGAATAATAAACCGAGGTCCAGCATTCCGGAAACATTGTACGCCACAGTCTTATGTTCTGGGACGGCGAACATCGGTTGCACATTCTGGAACGTCGAACCCCAATTCTATATCTGTTTGAATTCTATTATGGACAGCCGAATTGCCCCAAAAAACTGCCCCACACGGACACCAAAGAGGCACCCGTCATTGAAAAGACGTGGCTATTACCATGTTTATTGCTTGTTGGCTTGTTGAGTTTGAAGGGGGCTGGAAGGCCCAGCCAACAGCGTCGCCTCGGGCGAAGCCAAGTTCCAACTCTGTTGCACCGTAGTAACGATAGTCCCAGACTGAGAGGAGATGCCATCTCAAGCAATAGGAAGATCCTTTTGGCATCGATAGCGATGGTGTGCCTCGCAATGAGGCACGGTCAAATTTGGGCGGCCGGCCGCTTGAGCCGACGCGGCCGCGGGCGCACGCTCGCTTCCACTCCTTACGTCCCCCAGCTCGCTTTAGAGTCGGGGGGGGGAGGGAGACGAAGCGCGAGCCCGTCGCCCCTACACAGCAGGCATAGCAGCTAACCTACACAAAGAAAGAAAAGAGGCGGGCCTAAAGGAAGGCGGACCCGCTAGCAAGTTGCCTCGCATGTATATGACGCACTCATCAGGCGGCGTCAGAACTTGATGTCTGGCTGGCCCGATATGGAGTATGTCTCTTCAGGTCATGTTTGAAGGTCTCTATGCCCCCCATGATTTGTGGGGGCATTTCTCTGTCGATGCTCCCCTTGGCGTGGCCATCCGCAGTCATATCGCGGGTATCACGCCACTGAATGCTGTGCACGATTCCACGCTCCATCATCTGTCGCATCCAACTGCTGTGTCCTAAAAGAGTACACTCAGCCGGCTTCTTCAAGTCTTTGCTTGACAAGGACTTCAGAACAAACTCAGCATCGATGGTCAAAGTGACCTTGATGCTCAGGCCGCCCAGCTCAAGTATATATTTCAACTGAGTGGGCGTGAGCGGCCCGAGTGGAGCTCGCGCAGAGTTACAACTGTGGGATGACAGTCCTCCAAATTGTGGGCTGCTGCTAGTATCTCTGCTGAAAAAACTCGAGCGGATCTGCAAGCGGTGAGACTTGCAGCACGCATCAATCAAGTGAACGACAGGCTTACCAAATAACGTGTTTCCACATCGTAGCAGGTTTGCCTCGCGAATACCATAGCCTCGGACGTCGTCATCGGCGTCTCCACTAAGGCGTCGATATCCTGAGTCGCTATGTAGGTCGACCTCGCCCGTGGGGTTCATCGCCTGGTAGACGATCTTCTTCGGGCAGGCCTGTAGCTTTCTGGTGATCGCGCTCAGTCGTCGCACTTGAATGGTGGTCGGTTCTTGGACACGCGTTGAGATACAACATGCACCATTAACCACGCCAGGGCGATTAGTGCGCACGCCAGCGCACCCCTGAGGCTGACGAACATGTCTGCCACCATATCGGTTGCCTGAGCGACTGCGCCGGCGCCGGTTAGCTCGGGAGGTTGCATAGGACGGAGCTGTTTGATATATTCATCTTGATCCAAAATGTCATTGCCGTCCTCGTCCTTGGCGTATAGCACAGCACAGTTGGTATATGTGTGCTTGTTGAGTTTACACTTACCAAAGGTATCTTCAACGCATTCGGCATATTTGTCAATAGTGTCCTCAGTACCGGCCTTATGAATGTCATCAACATGCTTGGCCGTGAGCAAAATGTCGCTCCTCTCGAACTCCTCGTCGTAGGACGTGGGTCGGAGACCATATCCTCTGGTGGTTCTTCTGAGCTTACGTGAGAAAGCCCGTGGAGCGTCTTTAGTGCCTGTGCCTGGTTTTAAGCACTGCAGGCAGTGCTTTGACTCGTCGTAAGGCTCGAATCCTGGGAGAGTCCGGAGCACTGTGGCCGATCCAGGCGGCAAAGTAAAACGCGCCACACGTTCCTTTTCACCAGTAGCCTCAGCAAGTTCCCGATAGGCCAATCCCTTCAGGGAAGGCCACGTTGATGTCGAGGGAAGCAATGGTCCACTGCTTCTTGCACGCTGCCGCGCTAGCGAGTAACCTCTGGCTTGACCGCCTCGCTGTTCCCGAAAATGTTTCTACGTCGAAAGATTCAAGTTCCATGAAACCTCGGAGAACCAAGCGTAATCGGATGGCACGTTCCATCTCGCCCATCCCGTTCTTCACGAACTTCAATTCGCACACGCATCTCGAAGTCATGATGTTCGACGCCTTGGCTATCTCCTGCATATTAAGGCAACTGCTGTCCAACCATGTCTTGAGTTCAGTGTAGAAGGCCTTCGATACTTTATCGGGATTCGCCTGAGTCGCGAGGATGTCGTCTTCCTTGACGACCACAGCTCGCTTTGCAGCGGCGGTAACGTATACTCGCATAGAGGTCACCCGGTCGGCATCTAATATCATGTGTTGCTGCTCGGACAAGACCTTCGACATTTCTGTCGTAAAGCATAGTTCGACGCATCGACCATTTTCGTCTGAGTCGAGTCCGTAGCTGTCGTCCTCGACCATGGTGCACATGGGGGCGTAGTATGTCTCCTCGGTATCGGAGTCGCGAG